AAGTTCTGGAGATGATTCTAAGTACGCCATTTGCATTTAGAAGCTGTTGCTTTGAAACCACATCACGTGGTCAAAGGAGCTCTCCATGCGAGTGAAACAGACAATTGTTAGGCTTCACAATCAAAACAAATCCATCAGAGAGATAGCAGGAACATTAGGAGTGGCCAAATCAACAGTTTGGTACATTCTGAGAAAAAAAGAATGTACTGATGAACTCAGCAACATAAACAGGCCTAGATGTCCACAGAGGACAACAGTGGTGGATGATCGGAGGATCCTCCTCATGGTAAAGAAAAGCCCTTTCACAACATCCAGCCAAGTGAAGAACACTCTCCAGGAGGTAGGCATTTCACTGTCAAAGTCTACATTCAAGAGAAGACTTCAGGAGAGAGCAAACACAGAGGATTCGCCACAAGGTGCAAACAAGGCCAGATTAGACCTTGCCAAGAACATCTAAAAAAGCCAGACCATTTCTGGAAAAGCATTTTTTGGACTGCTAAAATTAGGATCAACCTCTACCAGAATGACGGGGGAAAAAAGTATGGAGAAGTCTCGGAACAGCTCATGATCCAAAGCATACAACATCTTCTGTGACACATGGTGGAGCAGTGTGATGGCATAAGCATGCATGGCTTCCGGTGGCACTGGGTTACTGGCGTTTATTGATGACGTGATAGAAGACAGAAGCAGCCGGATGAATTCTGAAATGTATAAGGATTTACTGTCTGCCCAGATTCAGCCAAATGCAGCAAAGTTGATTGGATGGTGCTTCATAGTACAAGTGGACAATGACCCAAAACACACAGCAAAAACAACCTAGGAGTTTTTGAAGGTTTGAAGGTAAGAATTTGGAATATTCTGCAATGGCCAAGTCAATCTCCTGATTTCAACCTGACTGAGCATGCATTTCACTTGCTGAAGACAAAACTAAAGGCAGAAAGACCTAACAAACAAGTTAGCTGCACCAAAGTCGCGGCAAATCATCACAAAGGAGGAAACCCAGTCTTTGGTGATGTCCATGAGTTTCAGACTTAAGGCAGTCATTGCCTGCAAAGGATTTTAAACAAAATATCAAAAATGAATATTTTATTTATGATTATATGTATTTGTCCAGTTACATGGGAGGACTGTGTATAAAAATGGTTGTAATTTCTAAGCATTTTATGTTATATTTTTATTAAACCCCTTGAATTAAAGCTTAAAGTCTGCACTTCAATTTCATCTTGATTGTTTCATTTTAATTCTATTCTGGTGGCATACAGAGCCAAAATTATGAAAATTGTGTCAGTGACCAAATATATATGGCAGCCAGCAAACCCTCTTGCTCCTCTGTAGACGATACTAGTAGCTGTAACTGTGCCATCTCCAAGAATCCACGCCACCTTCCAGAAGGAAAATTAGTTCCACTACCACTGCCTTGCAGACTGTTGTCCCATATTAGAGTGGATTTCATCACAGACTAACCACCTTCGGGATTATGTACCAGCATTCTTGTTGTGAATACTCTGTGACCCACTTTTGTGTCACAATCCACCAGTTGAGAAACACTGGTCTAGATGGCATAACACAGTAGTGAAATAAACAGTAGTGGGTAACTTCAGTCCTGGGGCACACTCATTTTATATGTATTTGGCACCACCTATTGTTGCGGGTATCTTATTGACATGTAAAAGTTTAGACCCTGAATATAAGATGACCCCATTTTTCAGACCCCATTATTTCCAAAAGAAAAAATACTGTCTTATATTCAGAACAATGCGGCAGTGAAGATTTCCCTATCTGTCAGTCCCTTCAAAGTTGTGTTGAATTATTGACACACATCTACTGAACTGCTTATGAGAGTTGGTTGTGCAGATGCTGGCAAGCTTTCGCATTCCAAAAAACAAATGCAGCTATGCCACAGCGACTAGCGATGAAGCAGGCTCCATTCAAGGGAAGACACAGGGTTCACTGAGGGAAACTGAACAGTGGAAAAAAATACTTCATATGTGATCATAGTTAGAGAATCACTACATATGGAGCACTAAGCCAGATTACAAGGGTGCTATGGTAAGTGCTAGGAGGTAGAAAGAAATGTCCTGAGTTCACCAAACCTGGGGAACTCTATGGCGTGCCACCTCAGGGAGGGGGAGGGCACTCATGCAAGCGCTACATCATCTTCACAATCTCAAATGGATTGCCCTGCAAGGTCTGTAGGACGAGATAGAGATCCCAAGAGTGGAAGGATTGAAGGATTCAACCTCCATGTACCTCTCAGAAATCTAACGATCAGGTCCTGCTTCCCCAGATACTTTCCACCCACGGTGTCATGATTCGTTGCTATTACAGTACACTTTAAGACTGGAGGCAGACACGCACCTACCTGAAGCCACATCTTCGTGGATCTTCACCTTGGGAAGAACAAGAAGAAGTTAATAGGCATCATTTCAAGGCATATAGCCGCCAAAATACGTTAGAGGTGTTTGGGGCCCCCAAAAGTGACCCCCTAGTGTCAGTAATTTGACACAATGTCGAATTGACTGACAGATAGGGAACATTAATTTGCTGTCACTCCCAAATCATCTCCTTTACTCACTGAGAAATTTGGATAAGGACAGTAGATACAGTAGATTATGCTTAACGGTTTTAATTCAGAGAGTGGGGGTTATTAATGCACAGGATTAAATATTTTATTTATGATTATATGTATTTGTCCAGTTACATGGGAGGACTGTGTATAAAAATGGTTGTAATTTCTAAGCATTTTATGTTATATTTTTATTAAACCCCTTGAATTAAAGCTTAAAGTCTGCACTTCAATTTCATCTTGATTGTTTCATTTTAATTCTATTCTGGTGGCATACAGAGCCAAAATTATGAAAATTGTGTCAGTGACCAAATATATATGGCAGCCAGCAAACCCTCTTGCTCCTCTGTAGACGATACTAGTAGCTGTAACTGTGCCATCTCCAAGAATCCACGCCACCTTCCAGAAGGAAAATTAGTTCCACTACCACTGCCTTGCAGACTGTTGTCCCATATTAGAGTGGATTTCATCACAGACTAACCACCTTCGGGATTATGTACCAGCATTCTTGTTGTGAATACTCTGTGACCCACTTTTGTGTCACAATCCACCAGTTGAGAAACACTGGTCTAGATGGCATAACACAGTAGTGAAATAAACAGTAGTGGGTAACTTCAGTCCTGGGGCACACTCATTTTATATGTATTTGGCACCACCTATTGTTGCGGGTATCTTATTGACATGTAAAAGTTTAGACCCTGAATATAAGATGACCCCATTTTTCAGACCCCATTATTTCCAAAAGAAAAAATACTGTCTTATATTCAGAACAATGCGGCAGTGAAGATTTCCCTATCTGTCAGTCCCTTCAAAGTTGTGTTGAATTATTGACACACATCTACTGAACTGCTTATGAGAGTTGGTTGTGCAGATGCTGGCAAGCTTTCGCATTCCAAAAAACAAATGCAGCTATGCCACAGCGACTAGCGATGAAGCAGGCTCCATTCAAGGGAAGACACAGGGTTCACTGAGGGAAACTGAACAGTGGAAAAAAATACTTCATATGTGATCATAGTTAGAGAATCACTACATATGGAGCACTAAGCCAGATTACAAGGGTGCTATGGTAAGTGCTAGGAGGTAGAAAGAAATGTCCTGAGTTCACCAAACCTGGGGAACTCTATGGCGTGCCACCTCAGGGAGGGGGAGGGCACTCATGCAAGCGCTACATCATCTTCACAATCTCAAATGGATTGCCCTGCAAGGTCTGTAGGACATCCCAAGAGTCCCAAGAGTGGAAGGATTGAAGGATTCAACCTCCATGTACCTCTCAGAAATCTAACGATCTTCCCCAGATTGTGAAAGAACCATTATTTTTAATCAGATCATTGTAATACATTGGTTGATCCAGTTCACAAAACTGGATTAAATGATAGCTTTTTCAAGCTTAATCTGGTTATGTCTGGCTCAAATATTCAGTCACAGCAATTTACATTTTTGAGTGAAATAATCTTTTAAATTGTGAAGTAGCCTATATTTGTAAAATACAATTGTAAGTATACATCTTGGCAATATTGCCTGTACAAAAATGAACAAAAAAATTATAGTTCAATTAAAAAAATATTGTGTACAGATTGTATTGCAATAATGAGAATTAAATCATGACAACTCTCTGAAGATTTTAGAATGGTGATGGATATGACAATGTTAATGTATTTGGTCTTGGCGGAACAGATCTGCTACATTGCTGCTGAATTGCTGCTGCTGTTGGTTATTGCTGTAGTTGTAGATATTACTGCTGCTGCAAGCAAGTACAGGAACTTGCTACTGCCAATGCATATGGCGATACGGTGCCGTGATATTTAAGACATACTGCTGCTTCACAAATAGCATATAAAATAACCCTGTAGCAGATCTATGCAGGTGGAGCTGGGGAAGGTGGAGGGTTTCAGAGAACTCTGAAAGCGTGCTGCAGGAATCTCAAGTGAATGCTAGCCAACTATATAAATGGAAGGCAGTAAGCTCATTGGCTGCATATGCAGCATGAACCAATCAGCTTGTGCCAAGTCGTTTAACTCTCTGAATATCATCGGTTACGTTAACAACCCGTCTCCTGCGCCATCTAGAGTTTCATGACTGAACTATATATTTACCTTTGTCTACTTACTCTCCATTATTTTGAATTTGTATGCATAATTCAAATTCAGAGAAGTCCAGTGCCATTAAAGTGTACCTGAAAAGGTTTAACAGTTAACAAGAAATTTCAGATGAAGCTTATGACAAAGAAATTGTGCACTGCAATTCTGCAACAATGAGATAAATATTTAACAGGCATCAGTTGTGAAGGCAACCATTGCGGTTTAGGACATAATATAGAGGATGGTTTACGGCTGATATCAGATTTGAAAAGTCACTTAACTAAAACTGTGAATTTTGTCTAGGTAACAAAGTCATTATTAATCTGCCTGTCTCTTGTTTTTTTTCTGTTTTGCAGCGGTATCACTCACACTAGCTTTGAATGGTGTCTTCACAAATACCATCAAGTTGATAGTTGGCAGGTAATGTACAAACATGGTTTCTGTACTATTTCCATCAGAATTTTATGCCAGGATTGTTCTAGGTTCAATACACAATGGAGGGTTAAAAACAGTCACAGACACAGTGGTGCGGAATGCTGGGAAACATGTTATATTGATCTCATCTTATATTGCTCACCGGAATTATGGAAAACATAGAGTGAAAATCCTCTGTTCCACAGGGCAATCCCATGAAATGCCTGTTTTGACCAGAAAGAATCTGGTTTAAAATTAACATTCAGTGTTTAGACACTTCACATTACTTATTATATTCACATTCATCACTCCCCTCTAAATACAAAACATAGTGAATAGAGGTACAGTATGTAGTAGAACATCCATCCATCCATACCTTGAAAACATACATCCATTCATCCTTAAAACCTGCAGGCAGTGGAGTACCCTGAAAGAAAAGTCCCCTCCACTAATATTGGTATTAGTGGAGGGCAATGTATATACATAAGTATAAAGTATAAGTATCCATACTGTATATAAAGACCTATTAGTATATCTGTCCTGTTATTTGTAATCATGCTTTTGCCACTGGTGTTGATCTTGATCACAGGCCAAGGCCAGACTACTTCCACCGCTGTTTCCCTGATGGACAGATGAATGCAAAGATGCTGTGTACTGGAGAGTCAGACCTGGTGTCTGAGGGCCGGAAAAGTTTTCCCAGCAGCCATTCCTCCTGTAAGTGCCAGCGTGTATGTAATGTGGGGTTTGGGTTTTGTTTCTCGTTTAAGTTTTCTGAACTTTTATTTTGATATTTTGCCTTGTTTCATGTTCCTGTCATGTGTTCCTTGCCCCTCATGTGATCATGTCATGTGCTACTCTTGTCTGTGTTTTATTGACACGGTGGTTCCTTGGTTGCATGTGTCATGTTCTCATTGGTTGGTTTTGTCATGTGTTCCTTTTGTCTAAGTATTTAAGCACCTTTGTTTGTCGTGTATTGAATGCATGTAACCCTGCTCTTGGTGAGTGAGTGTTTTGGTCAAGTCTGCTCATGTTCGTGTCTAGTCTTTGTTTTATATTTGCTCACATTGGATGCATGACAACTATCACGTGTGTTTCGGGTTTATTCTAACCTTTTCAATTCCAATAATAGCCACAAATCTGCGTTTTTAGAACAGTAAAAGCTTTTTTACTGTAATCGCAATGTTATATTCAGTCACGTTTATCATAAAACACTGATGGAAGCATACATTCCCCCACTTTATTAGTATTTAAATAGTATATATAGAGTATAAACCCCGCGTGAGCGTCACTAACGGGAGCAGAAATGTCCGCCTTGACGGCTCCATTTTCAACTCCGCCCCCGACTGCAAGCGGCTACTCTAGTTGACTGCCGTCTGTAGCCGTGCTTCAAGTCGAACGCACCTTGTGTGTCATGTTGTGATTGGTAGCTTTAGTCATGTGCCTTGTTCCCATTGGTTGGTTTATGTCATGTGACCCTTGTTGTTTGCTATAAGTAGCCCTCACGTTGCCATTGTCTCTCATCGTGTATTGAACGTATTAACCTCTGTTTGGTGAGTTGTTTCATGTCTGTAGTCAAGTCAAGCCAAGTCTGTTTTGTTTGGATTTTTGGATTTCACTCTGTATAATAAATCTGCACTTGGATTCATCTACAACTTGCCGTTCATTGGACCATCATTACAGTGTACACTTAACAACTTACCTTTGAACATGTTAGGTTTGTTTTCCAAGAAAGAAACACACACATTACTTGATCTGCTGCAATTATATAAATAATTTATTTAGCTAAACTATCAAACCTGAACAGGGGAGAGCAGATTCATTTATAACAAACAACATCTCCAATCAGCAACAAGCTACAGTGATGCTACTCAGTTTGTCACAAAGGAATCTGTGTCTTCCCAAAGAACCCTCACCTAACTGTGTATGGAAGGCAGCTATGGCCACCGTTTAGATCTTAACCATGGACAGGGATAGATCTGCAAAGATATAATTCTGAAGAAAAGCCATCACCGAAGCCACTAGGTTAACTGTGTCCAACCTGTGTTCTCTGCACCATGATGTGAAAATTCTCCACTTCACGGCATACAATTCCTTATGATGGGAGCTCTAGAGTTTAAGATGGTCTTTATGACCTCAGCTGAGAGACCAGAGTTCAGAAGGTGTACAGTGTATAGCCTTGTATGCACAATGGCATCCAGTCCAAAAGGAGCTGGATGTGTGAGGAGAACCAGAGCGGACAGTGGGTGGTCCCCTGTCGAACTTTCTCCAAATTAACTCCACCATCTCGGGATGGAGTCTCCATTCCCTGGGCTTTCATTATGCAGAATGTGTTGCCCCTTAGGGAAAAAAAAAACTTTTTTGTTCTCATGTACAAAAAGCCAAACGGTATCATGCTGGACATGGCTGCCATTAGACCCAACAGTCTCTGAAACTGTTTGGCAGTGATGGCCTGGCCTTGCTTCATCTTGAACACTGCTGGCAGGATCGACTTGATACAAGCACAAGGCAATTGTGCCTGCATTGTAACCGAGTCCCAGATTAGTCCCAGGAAGGTTGTCCTTCGCATTTAGTCTCAACCCCAATAGCTTTATGTGGGTGAGGACAATATCTGGAAGCTGAACTGCCATCTCTTGAGACTAAGCTAAAATCAGCCAGTCGTCAATATAATGGAGTACATGGATGCCTCGAAGTCTCAAAGCAGCCAGTGCTGCATCCATGCGTGAATGTGAATGGGGATAGTGCTAGGCCAAATTGAAGAACCCAATATTGGTATACTTCTCAAATATTTCTCCAAGACAGAAATGAAGTTACTTTAACATCAAATGGAGACATTTGCTTGAGTCTCCTGCTTCTCACACAATTCTAACACTCTCACAATGGTCTCCTTTAAAGTTTTAGATCTTGGATCTTGCTTGGAATAGAAAGAAGTGTAATACCCTGCCAGTTGTCAAAGCTGCTGAGATTTCCTTTCTTGGGCAGTTTGAATATGAGGCCTTTGGGATAGTGTCTTCTTCCCAAATTGTTTGAAAAAGTTCTGTTAATATGCTGACTGATCTGTAGATGTCTGACTTCAGCAGCTCTGTTTGCAAAGAGTCAATCCCCACATAGGAGGGGACATTCCCTAAAACACAACATTCCCTAAAAGTTCTCTAAAGATGGCAAATATCCCGAACCTTTAGAGATTATTAGGGACATTCCTAAAATGTCCTCTTTTGATGCTGCAGTTCAAGGTTCCTTATATGACTTTAGAGAGACATTCCATTTGGGTTATTTTATGGTCACATAAGAATGTTACAAAGAGGACAATTGGGATGTTAACAGTACGTTAGTGCTCAATTCCGATTTTGCTCAGATCTGAATTTCCAGCTGTTCACATTGTTGTTTTAAATGAGGCCAATATCAGATTCACATAGTGAACAGATCATGTTTCTGAACTGACCAGCATGCGCAAAAGAACGATACGAACAGGGTTTCCAGGTTTTCACAACAAAATCCACCCAATTGCTTCTCAAAACTAGTCCAAAACTAGCCCAGTCGTGTTCTGGGGAGGTAAATATCGTGTTAGTGGGGTCACTTTAACCCACAGAGTTGAAAAACAACACGCGGCAACAGTAGTTGCCAATTACTAATTCTGCGGGAAAACTGTGGACTTGGCAACACTTGAGCTGTCATGCGGAAGTAAACACGGAGGACATAAAAGTAAGCGATTATGTGTTTATTTATAGTGTGATCTGGCACAGAAGCAA